GTTTTGACTTCTAGTATTCTTGCCACCAATGTTCCCTCTATTTTTTTTTCTTGCTGAGCAAAACTTTTCTCTATTGAGCGGACATTTCAACTACCTGAGCAAAACATTATTTATACCAGACCTGTAGCCTACAGGGCACACACAAAAAAGTGTGTAATGTTTCACTTTAATGTGCTATTTATATTTGATTTGACCCTTGATGTAACTAAATGATGCTGAGTTTAAAGTTACATGAGAAAACATTTTTTGAGAGTGCTGTGTTACCAAGAAACTCTATTTTTTCAATCTCACACAAAACAGTTCAATTCTTTATAATAATATAGCCTAATATAATATAAAAATAAACAGAAGAATTTTAACTGATAAAATCGAATCGAAACGAATCAAATAGAACAGAACAGAAAACAACCCGAAGCATTTAAACTGAGGCCAAGTATATGTAAGCTATATATAAAAAAAAATTAAAAAAAAGTGAACATGTAAATTCTTATAGTTATCTAAACATCCCTATGTAGTAGAGTTTGCACACTACTACACATGTGTGACTGTAAATGTCTCGGAGTTTTGTTGCCGTTCTGTGCCCATAATCCGCTATTTCCACCACTTAATCAAGCCACTCTTCTTTAAAATATGACGTTTTATTTCACATGTAATAGCGTTTGTGTTGGCTCTTGTGTTGAGCTATTTCGTCCGCAACCATTAAAGAATTAGATTTCTACAGCGACTCGTTTGGCTCACGTCACTCTCTTTCTATGAAACCTGTAAACCGCATTCACCGGTTCTAACTCGCGACAACCCGAGCATTACAATTATTTCGCATTTACTAGAATTCAATCAATTGGCTTTCCCAACTCATTTTTTGCGTGTGTCCTGTGCGCGGCACATTATGTCTATTGCCACATTATAATGTGTCTACTGGATGTGAGTTTGCGTCTCAGTGACGTAGTGTCTTGCGGTTGACTCTAATAATGGGCGGTACGCTGTCTGTGATCAGTAGCACACGGCAGCACTTTGAACTAACCACAAATTCATTGTAATTTGTAGTTGCCCTGACGGGCAGAGCATGTAGTGGTTTGTGGTTTGGTATAGTTAATGCCCAGACAGTTTGCCAGTAGAACGTGATGAGGTGGCTGTGTTGGCATCCGCTGTGCCTTGTGACGATCTGGGTTTCTTCTGGCTTTAATACAATGACAATATAATAACCAATAGTTTAAGGGTACTGCCTTTTTAGTTAAGCAAGGGGTATTTGATATTTCTGTTGTCTTTAGCATTTAAATGTTTGAAAAGCCCTGTCTTACGATACCACTGAGTGTCAGTGTTTCCACTTGTGCTGCACTTAAATGGTGAATGAAACTTCTGTACAGTCCCAACATGCAGTTCCGAATTTACACGGGAGATGGCGGTAAATGATCACTTCATAACCTGATCTCGAGTTTTCGCTTGCTAGATGGAATGATCAGTGACATTACTTTCAGCCAGCCCGTCTGTTTCTTAGCTTACACGTATTTTGAATACGATCCGAATGTTGAAATGTTGCAAACCATGCCAGAGCAATTCCACATTTGCTAAATTTTAAACATAAAATGGCTGTCAAATGATTTTTTGACGTTTGTTTGAGCCTACTTTTGCTTTCAACACGTCAACATTTTGTTTTTGTTTCCTCTATTTTTTTCCACATTCCACTTATACTGTAGGCTATAATTTTTTTTCTCTGAAATTTAGAATTGTGATTGTGGGTGTGTTGTGAATTGTGTATTTTTCCTCAATATTTTGCATTGGATAAAAATGCCTGCTTAATTAATAAATATAAATGTTGACTCTTGTTTACTAATCATCTTCATAATTTATATAATATTATAAAATCTGAATAATAGTCAGGACAGAAGTAGGTTTTCAGCTATTATATGATTGAAGAGATTTTACTTAATTTAATTTAAATAGCCTACATTTAACCCATTTAATGAGTTTGAGGTATTGCTCATTATGAAAAAAATATGTTTTTTTTCATGAATAACAGTAAATATTTGTATTTTATAATTCCACATACTGTCTAAGATTGTGTGCAACATGGTCGTTTTGAAGAAACTGTCATTTCTGTAGGCCTTTGCTGTTTGCTAGTTCTGGATGATCTTTGGTGATTATTGGTTACATCTTTTAACACCACAGAACTACAGTGTTTGGGTTTCTTGCCACAACACATTTATGACTTGTTTTAATGTATTTGTACAATGTAATGTCATGTATTGTTTAATCATTTAAAAAAAAAAACATTGAGCTCTTAAAATTATGACAAAACTGATGGTCATATACTGCCAAATGTAGTACTGTTAAATTGATCTCAAATTTTCTCATTTAATTTTGAACAAGGAATCTCATTATTTATTTAAAATCATATCTCTGTCTGTTACTAAATCAGATTCAGTCTTTTTGTTTTTCCCCACATTATCAGTTTTCTTTTTTTTAAATAAAAAATCATTATAACAATAGGTGATATTGTATTTTGTGGTCTATAGGCTATCTCCCTCTCCTCATTCACAGCTTTGATAACCCTGTTTTGATAGTCACTGTCTATTTGCCGTGGGATCTTGATATGTGCCATTCAAATGTGCTCTCACCCATGTCATTTCCTCTTTGGGCCATCTATCACAACAGGTTGCACAAGTGCCTTTTCACTGGTCAGTTGTCACTTTTGCTAATGCAAATTGTATTTGCATGAAAACTCATTGCCTCGTGGACCCTTCCTGCGCTTGGGAACTGAGACCGCTGCTGCTACACCAACAATCAGATCAAACCCCTGCATCAAAATGACAGTATTACTGATCAATTATTTCCATATTTCCATACTCACACAATCAATTAAAGAAACTGATGAGAGGTTTTGACACAGGAGCTGGAGGAGCTTCAGTGCTCATCTGTTTCCCAAACATGCAAACTTAATGGTGGATGCTGACATACAGAGCATATGAATTCAACATACCTTATAATTATTCACATACCCAAAGCAGACATACCTCTATTAGCGACTAAATCAGAAGAACATCATAACAACATACTAAAAACAAAACATTAATTTGCCAGGGTAATGTCATAAGGTTTACAGTGTTAACTGTATGGGAAGATTTAATTTTATCCTGAGAGGCGTGCCAGTTCAGACCATTTGTAGTTTACTTTTGGTCAACTTAATGTTAAATGCAGCTCCATGGAAAAATCTGTCCCTGTAGGTATCTGGGCATAACAGAAATTGTGATAAAAACACTGCAAAATAACATAGTCAAATGCAATAGAATGATAATGGTGTGAGGCGTAGCATTTGGCAGATAAGATAAAGAGCTACAGTCTGGAAAAATATCTAGCAAGCTTTAGTGATTTCAGATAAACCTTATGTCAGTGGAGTAGAGCTTGTATCGAGGAGGTAACATGGAAGAACTTACACACGCACTCTGGCCAAAACATGAAACATTTTTTTTCCCTCTGTCTCTCTCCTTGTACCCTCTTTAGTTTATGAGTCAGTGCCATGTAATCCCATGGGTGGTGCAGCAATGTGTGTAGCTGTGCAGACATTTCTGAAAACTTTATAATGGCTTATAAAGCTGAGAAAAACAGGAGTATTGGCAGACTAAGACAGTTTTCTCTTATGTTATCACAGACAGTTTGCACTAATATGCAGGCAGAATGGGTGGAGTGTATATTGTATTCTCTTGGCCTTTTCAAATAAGACTTAGAAGTCTAAACTTTGGAGAGTCCAAGCTGTGAAATATTACTGTAAATATCTGCAAATTGGTTTTAAATAAACAATACCTTGCAAAAGTATTTAGACCCTTCTTATTTCACTGAATTACAGATTCTGCATCTGTTCCCTCTGATATTTTAAAGCTCTTTCAAAGCAACTTTATTTTTAATGTTTACACTACACATAAGGCTTTGAATTATTATTATTATTATATCTTAAAATGTTATAATCTTTCTCATTTTTCTCTATTTTTATAAGTATACACATGCTCTAACTTTTGTACTCAGGTTTGCTCCTGAAAACTAGTCCTATTATGATACCGCTTTGTGGATGTGTGGTGAAGTTATGTGTTTTTTTCACTCTATGCAGGCTAGTGTTATGTGCATCTTTTCTTTCTGTAGCTCAAACAGTATAGAGCGTGGCACTAGCAATATCAAGGTCATGGCTTTGATTCCCAGGGAAAGCAAGCACTGATCAAATGTATCTTGAATGTAATGTAAGTCCCTTTGGATAAACGCATAGGCTATGCCAAATGCATAATAAACACATGATTTATGTCCATCTGAAACACATGATTTATGAAAATGTTCATCTGAAACACATGATTTATGAAAATGATTTATGAACATGTTCATCTGAAACATGATTTCTAAAAATGTTCAATTAACTATACTCTGTTCTCAGCTGAACTGTGTAACTGCGTGTGTTTGTATACAGCCTTTTTTCTTTTTCTTTTATGTGTTTTGGTTTAACTAGCCTACCTTAGGATGGTAACTTTCTGAAATTTAACAAATAAGGCCTATATTTAGAGTATATATACAAATAGGCCTACTCAGATTTTGTACTCTTTTCCAGATTATCTCTTTTGAATGACTTCAAGTCTTTTTTTCCACAATTCTACTGGTGAATAAAGAGCTTTTAATAAAGGGTTTGTAGTTTTATTGATTCACAGAGGACAACTTTAATTATGTCCAACATGGCAATATTTTTCATCTGCTATTCTGTGTGAATTTTTTTTAAAATTATTATTCCATTATCTGTTTCTTGCCACCGTATGTAAATAAAGCTTTTGAATATTTTAGTCATACGTTTTCTGCCTTCAGTTTCATAGTATACTGCTAACGTCGAATAATCATTAATATGTAGGCCTGTATTAACATATTCAGCACCTCACTGGCTGTCCTGCAGAGAAAGAGATAGAGAGCGAGCGAGAGAGAGAGAGAGGGAGAGAGGGAGAGAGAGGGGGAGGAGGAGGAGGAGGCAACCGTGTTTTCTACAGGAAACAAATCAGAGAGAGAGAGAGAGTGAAAAAAATACTGTTGTAAGCGCCGTGTTTCGTCGCGGTTTTGTGAGTGATTTTCTGGGAGCGGGCGCTTAGCGAATCAGGGAAATCTGGAGCCCTGTTTGTTTAGACGCGGGAATCCAAGCTAAAGGTGTTTATTTGGTGTGTTTTTGGAGGTGTGAGGCTCGAGACTCCGCGCAGAATGACCGTTGACTGGCCCGATCTGCTTATCGTTCGCGGGCATTAGGTAAGAGCACTTATTTACACCGATCAAAACTGAAAGAAAAGCAGGTAGCTTAACGTTTCTTTTGGGGCACTATCAACAATAAAACATGTTGTAGCTTAATTTTAGTCCGTTAACTCGCCCACATCACGTCTAAATTTTAGCCCAGCGAATTCTAAGTCTTCCGAGAGTCTGATATCGTACTTGTTTAAGGAACTATCAACACCTCGGTTTGCTGGCGAACCAAACACCACGCATTTGCTTCGAGGGTCTTTTGGGTCGAAAGGAGGAGGAGAATAATGGCATTGCTGGCCGTCCGGATGCTTATGCTGGGGTTTTGGTGTTGTGCTGTTGCTGCGGGAGAGGGACAGTCCACTCCGGCCACATGCTCTCCGCTGTGCCGCTGCGATGAGGACGGAGGAGCGGACTGCTCTGGACGAGGACTGACCACCGTCCCCACCGGCCTCAGCGCTTTCACATATTACCTGTAAGTCACCACAGTAACGTTTAACAATCAAGTGCATGCTGGGAACAAGTGCATACTGTATGTATAAGGCTAAAAATGTTTGGCTCCCTTTTGAAAAATGCCCTTACAATGTCCATGATGTTACACGTTTCTATAAAGAGTTACTGCAGAAACACCATGTAGCAATCCCCCAAAATAATGACACATGCACTTCATGCAGTTATGTAAACTAACAATAACTTGTCTACAACAAGTCTAAAATTGTTTTCAGACGTTAAGTAAGATCATTGATCATGTAATATTAAACCACAATAAACTGTCCTGTGACTCAGAAACACACCTGTATACACTCATTTCATTCAGCATAGCAGTAAGAAAGAATGTAACAAAATATTAAAGATTAGAGGTGAAAATCCACATTGAGAAGTATGATTGTTGCGTTTAGCTAAATGTCTTCTGTATGAATAAGGCTGGCAGTTGTTTTCAGACTGAAATTCATTGGAGAGAGTTTTTGCTTTGTAGCTCAAAGTCCATCTTGGGCCGCTTTTGGGTACTTTGTGTAAGTGTAACAGACTAAATGCTGTATGACCCAAACTGGTAATATAGAGAAGGCTGCTCATCCATTATTAACTACAGCCAGACTTTAAAACCTTATTTATATTTTGAGGTGAGTTGGGGTGCTTTTCTATGAATAGTGCATTCCACAAATGACTTTCTCAGCAGTCTGCTGCTGATTTTTAGTGCATAACAGACACTAGTATTATATCTTTCTGAATGCTTTTTTAACGTTATATTTTCTTAATTTTTTAATAACTTTAGATTCGCTGATAATCAAGGAGGCCTCTTATATTAAAAGCTAGAAGTAATTAAACTTAAAGTGTGTATAATTACTGTCAAGCAGTAACTTGCCATTACTGACTAAGGGTTCATTCACACCAAGAACGATAACTATAACGCTAACTGCATTAGCGTCCACATAAATGCATGGTAACATTCTTTTTGTTGGTATAAGCATGAGCTACATTTGTTCCATCTGCCACATTAATTGCTCAAACTCTTTAAACTCAGGTGGATTCTTTCTGATTGGCTGTCAAGTGTTCATCAGCAGGAAAAAATCGTTATGAAATTGATTTCAGTGGTATCGTTTTTCTGTATTGTTATTATTACAGCTGGAGTGTTGACTTCCCTATTCTTATAGAATTAGAATGATTGTTAAAACTTTGTAGTTATCATTATAGTTATCATCCTTGGTGTATGAACGGGCCTTAATTCTTGATGCTGACTCCTTTGGTCTGTATTAATGGAGCCCTTGCATCAACAGTGCATAGTTTGATGTCTCCCTAGTTGACTTTGAGAACTTTTTATCCCTCAAGTTTTTCCATCTGTCTTAATACAGAAAGACTGGTTTATTGCTGGGCTGAGCCAGAGCCCGCTGTCTGTGGCACGTGTGAATCACGTCCCTCACCTCATTACACTTTACCTGCATTTATTGTGTTTTCACTCTGTTGTCATTAAGTGTGGTACTTTTCTGCCAAAGTGTTTAGAAACGCGTCTGGAGGCAAGTGTTTTTTCTGCAGCGCTCTCTTGGAGCCCATACATTTTCAAAACAGCTTGACCGTGCTCTTGAAATGTCTCTGCTAGGGATGGGTACCGAAACCCGGTATTTAATCGGTCCCGGGGCTAAATTATGAAAGACCTGAGTATCGATAAGCTCTGACGTTAACGGTTCTGCTATCGGTACTGGAGAAATTAAGAAAACACATACATTTATTATTGCTATAGATACATTGTCTTGCAAATTCTGTCTCACCAGAGTCGCCAGCTGTTTTTATATGCAATAATAATGTAATTACTTAACTTACTTATAATACTGAATTACTTGTAATTACTTACCTGAACAGTAATGTTAGTAGACCTTCATGGAAAAATGAAAGCACTGTTTATTTCATTTCATTTGTACATTTGTTTTATTGTATTTGTCAGTTTGTTTTACTTTGTTTCTTTGTTCATGTTTTTACTGTATCTTGTCTTATGTACAGTATAAAACACTAAAAATGCCTGCACACTGGTGCATTTACAAATTGATGTTTTATATTAATTTCATTA